GTTTTTGCGAAATAGATTTAGAAGCAATTTTGTTTTGGTGGCCGGATGGATTGAGAATGGATGAAATTAAGCGAATTTAGAAGAGAAATTGACCAAAATAAGCTTTTTACTGTGCGATCTGGAAGTCAGCGAACATTTTCTCGCGTTTAACTTCGAAATCTAGAGCTAAATCCTCGTGGCCGAGTGGTTAGTGAGCTTGGCTCTCACTCGGGGGGTCGTAGGTTCGACTCCGCGAGCCGCAAATTTGCATATCTGTTTCAGATTTTCCGAAATCTCAATGTTTTCACAAAAATCCCTTCCAGAAAACCGGATCCTTCAAGGCGAGAGGCGCTTGCAATGCAGTACAACTGTTGAAAGAGGCCGGGAAAACGAATGGAGTGGTTTGTAGTCGGAAATTAGCGTAAAAAGTTGAAAATTCTTGCGGAAACGGTCAAGCTGGAACGCACTACAATCATTTTATAACTTTAGATTACCCATTCGTCGGGAAATCACGGTCAGGGTTTATCCTATGCAGCTCGAGCGGCCGGCCTACCCTGTACCGTCGTAGTCCCGCGTACAGCACCACCGTCAAAAGTGAGTACGGTAGATAGAGTGATATCCAGATATGTGAAAAGTTTGATTAGATCGTAAAAAAATCGAATAGAACTTGAGATAATGAGGAGAATTTGAAAAATTTTAGGACTGGATGAATTTTTGTCGTTTTTTCGATGATTTAAATAAAAATAAGAGATTTTCTGGGGGATCTGGAGGTCACAGAATTGATTGGAAAAGGAATTATGAAGTTTATTCCAAATTTTCAGCTCGAAGGCATGAAAGCCTATGGAGCCGAGATTATTCTTTGTGAGCCGACGATGAAAAGTCGGTGGGTTTTTTTGGACAAGACGTTACAGTACTCTTAAAAGCTATAAATTAGCATTTAATTAGCATTTGAAAGTATTCAGCGAAGAAACGTGCGAAAAAGTGGCCACAGAAAGAGGATTAACAATTGTGCCACCGTTTGACGATCAAGTGATCATGGCTGGCCAGGTTTGTGCCCAGTGGCATCCAAAATTTGCAAACGCATCCTTTCTGGTGCACAAAAAGTGTCCCATTGTTGGTGTAAGGAGTGCAATCGAGTGCAAGAGGTTTTAACAGTTTCTACGCCAACAACTAATAAGTTTTTTTGAGCAATTCGTTAATCCTGGAAGTCACACAACCCAATTAAGCCAAAACACACCCTTTCTGGCGCACTTGAAGAATTTCTTTTTGGATGATCGAGTTCAAGAGATTTTAGCCGTTTCTAGATCGATAACTAATAAGTTTTTGGAGCAATTCGTTAATCCTGGAAGTCACACAACCCAATAAAGCCAAAACACACCCTTTCTGGCGCACTAGAAGAATTTCTTTTTGGATGATCGAGTTCAAGAGATTTTAGCCGTTTCTAAACCAATAACTAATAAGTTTTTTGATCAATTCGTTAATCCTGGATGGCACACTTGCCAACTCTTTTACTCATTCTTCATTTTTCTAGGGAACAGCCGCAGTCGAACTGTTGGATGAGTTGCCCAACTTGGACGCGGTTTTCCTCGCTGTTGGCGGTGGAGGCTTGGCTGCTGGCATGGCCACTTATATCAAACAGACGAAACCCAATGTGCAGGGTGAGTATTTCGTTGATTTGAGCATTTTAATCGCTAAATTTCCTTTTTTTATAGCTTTTTGAGTGAGAATGGCAAGAATTAAGCAAAAATCTAGAGAAACAAGCAAAAATCGAGCTGTCCTGGGGACGATCTGGAAGGCACAGAAGATGTGGAGATCTTTAAAACCAAGATTTAACCAAAAGTTCTGATGGCCAAGTGGTTAGTGAGCTTGGCTCTCGCTCAAGTGATCGCGGGTTCGAGTCCGCTGGCTGCTCGAAATTTTTTTGTTTGTTTTTGAATTGGTCTAAAATTTGCAAAGAGTTTGTGCTGCGTTCCAGCTTTTGCTTCTACGTTGTTAGTTTTTCCAGATCATGACTGTTTACGGTTAAAAAATCGTTTTTAGTGTATTTGGTCGAACCAAATGGGAAAGGATTGCATATTTATTTGGAAAACGGTCAAATTCGAGGCGATTTGGACTCGCTGAACACGGTGGGGAAAGGGAAAATGAATTTAAGAACGTATTTCAAGATAGCTGACGGTATTCGAGTGTTGCGAGTCGGCGCTAATCCATATCCAATTTTGCAAAAATATTGCAAAGACACGATTTTAACGGTCGGCGAGGAGGAGATCAAAGAGGCCGTGGCGCTGATTTGGACGAGGCTGAAGGTACGGTCGATGGGGACTGGAGCTGAGAAGGGCTGAGAAGGGCTGTGAAGGGCTGAGAAGAGTTCAAGAGGTTTTAACAGTTTCTAAACCAATAACTAATAAGTTTTTTGAGCAATTCGTCAATCCTGGATGGCACACTTTCCAATAAAGCCTAAACATACCCTTTCTGGCGCACTTGAAGAATTACTTTTGGATTATCAAGTTCAAGAGGTTTTAACCGTTTCCAAACCGAGAACATCTAAATTTCTTGACTGAATCTTTAATCCTGGAAGTCACACAACCAAAAGCCCCCCCCCCCCTCCCGCCCCCTTTTTTTTTTTTTTTTTTGTTGGCCCGGACAGATTTTTTCGCCCCCCCCCCAGCAAAACCTTATTTGCTTGACTGAATCTTTAATCCTGGAAGTCACACAACCCAATAAAGCCTAAACACACCCTTTCTGGCGCACTTGAAAAAATTTTTTGGATTATCGAGGTCAAGAGGTTTTAGCCGTTTTTAAACTGACAACATCTGAATTTCTTGACTGAATCTTTAATCCTGGAAGTCACACAACCCAATAAAGCCAAAACACACCCTTTCTGGCGCACTTGAAAATTTTCTTTTGGATTATCGAGTACAAGAGGTTTTAGCCGTTTTTAAACTGACAGCAATCTGCATAATTTTAGCTTGCTTATCTACTGTGCGTCCCAGCTTGAACTAATATGTCGCTAAAATCTTCTACAGTAACCCTGTTCTAGATCTAAAGCTCCAGTCCTAAACTGTGACCCTGGTTAGCCTGAAAGTTCGTTATCTACCATAATTTTGTTTTAAAACTTATCTACTGTGCCTTCCAGCTTGGACTAATACGTCGCTAAAATCTTCTACAGTAACCCTGTGCTAGATCTAAAGCTCCAGTCCTAAAGCTTGATTCCGCTAGGCCGTAGATGTGCTTGATTTTTCGAATTTAGCAACGCGTCGAGCCGACGGCGGGCGTGCCGTTGGCCGGTTTGTTGAAAATGGCGAAAGAGGTCGGGTTCGCGTTGAAGGTTTGATTGAAAAGAAGCAAAAAAATGGTATAATCGAGATTTTTTAAGGGCAAAAATGTGGCGATCATTCTCTGCGGTGGGAATTGCGATTTGACCTTTTTGCCTTTATAAAAAAGGGAAAGATTTATCTTTAAAATAAATAAATAAAATAAAATATACGAAAAACAAAAAAAAACAACTAAGCAAATGCAAAAAATGATTGACTTTACAAAAAAAAAAAAAGGCGGCTTCGGATCGGCTTCAGCTTCAAAGAAAAAATAAAAAAATAAAAGAAAATAAGATCACAAATGAAGTTTATAGAAAACCTGCGTTCCAGCTTGCACGAATATCAGCTTTTCTAGGCTTAAAGTCCTCTTTTTTTGATCGTTTCTTTGCCATTCTCAGATCAGTGACTAAAATAGAGAAACTTGAGAAGAAAAGAGTGATTTAAATGATCGATTCGTGAGTTCTGGATGTCACAGAATGTATATGTCGTAGCCGATTATGAATTTCAGTCGATTATGAATTTCAGCCGATGATGAATGGAGGAGGTCTAGGTCTAGGAGGTCTAGGAGCGTCCAATGAGTCTAGAAACCTCCAACCATCAACTATTTGGTATCATTCAACGCAGAATCATTAATAATTATGTTAAATTTTTAACCTAAACCCCCAAATTTGGTACCAATCGACGCAGAATTTAATTCGCTACAAGATCGACTCGTTTTAGAGCAAATCGAGGGTTATTTCGAAATTCTAAAAACTGGACTGGGCATTCTGGATGTCACAGTAGCCTTTCAGTATAAAGGAACGTCCATAGGTGTAATTTGGAAAATTTGGTTTTGACCAGTTTGAGTTCGACTCGTTTTACAGCCAACCGAGGGTTATTTCGAAATTCTAAGAACTGGACTGGCCATTCTGGATGTCACAGTAGCCTTTGAATCTAAAGGAACGTCAATAGGTGTAAGTTGAGAAATTTTTTTTGACCAGTTTGAGTTCGTTTGGTTTTCGAGCAAATCAAGGGTTATTTCGAAATTCTAAAAACTGGACTGGCCGTTCTGGATGTCACAGTAGCCTTTGAGTATAAAGGAACGTCGATAGGTGTGATTGAGGAAATTTGATTTTGACCAGTTTGAGTTCGACCCGTTTTAGAGCCAATCGAGGGTTATTTCGAAATTCTAAAAACTGGACTGGCCATTCTGGGTGTCACAGTAGCCTTTCAGTATAAAGGAACGTCCATAATCAGCTGAAGACTCAGAATCTGATGGTTGGACGCTCCTAGACCCACTCATTCATCATCGGCTACGGGGCGTTGTAGCGGCGGTAATTTTTAACCTAAACCCCCAAAATTTGGTACCAATCGACGCAGAATTGAATTCGCTACAAGATCATTTAATATTGTCCTCATAAATTAAATGGTTGCTTTACTAGAAAGATTTGCCAAAACAAAATTCATTCATAATCGGCTACGACATATACATTTTTCGAGCTCTTTCACTAAGACTTTACGCGTGGGACGAATAACACTTTTTTCTAGGCTTAAAGTGCTCTCTTTTTCGGTCGTTCCTTTGCCATTCTGAGATCAGTGACTAAAATAGAGAAAATTGAGAAGAAAAGAGTGATTCAAATCAACGATTTGTGAGTTCTGGATATCACAGAATGTATAGAAATCAAAAAATTAAGAAAAAAAATGAAAGAAAAAAAATGAATTCTAGAGTTAAGGATTTGTCTTGGTTACAGGGATATTATCGCTGTTCGGCGAAAGATTCAACAACGATCCACCCAGCAGATTCTGGTATTCATTTGGGAAAAGATTTGGGAAAATTAGCGGCACCGTGGCCGGGATTGAGTTGTCCGAGGAAAGCGGGAGGAACGTCTGAGCTGCAGAGTCTTTTGGGAGGAAGCGGTTCAGGGGATGAAGGGGATGGGCCAGATGGGTAAAGAGTTGGTGTGGAGAGGAGATCAATGAAGAGAGCGTCGTGGGCAGGAGAGGGTTGTCCTGGAAATTCGGTTTTAGAGAAGTTTTTCGCACTTTTCAACCAATTTTAGCTTTTTTTTTAGCCTGGAGTTGGAGTGGCCTTGGAAGCTGGTTATCGGATAAAATTTCAGTCTAGACACTTACTGTGCGTTCCAGCTTGAACTAATAAGTAGCCAAAATCTTCTATACTAACCCTGATCTAGATCTAAAGCTCCAGTCCTAAAACTTGATCCCGGTAGCCTCCCAATTAGCCTGAGAGTTCGTTATCTACCATAATTTTAGTTTACTTATCTACTGTGCGTTCCAGCTTGAACTAATATGCAGCTAAAATCTTCTATAGTAATCCGGTTCTAGATATAAACCTCCAGTCCTAAAACTTGACCCCAGTTAGCCTTCCCGTTAGCCAAAAAGTTTGTTATCAGATAAAATTTCAGTTTAGATCTTTACTGTGCGTTCCAGCTTGGCCTAATAAGTAGCTAAAATCTTCTATAGTAGCCCTGTCCTAGATATAAAGCTCCAGTCCTAAACCTTGATCCCGGTTAGGCTCAAAGTTGGTTATCGGATAAAATTTCAGCTTAGATCTTTACTGTGCGCTCCAGTTTGGCCTAATACGTAGCTAAACTTTTCTACAGTAACCCTATTCTAGATATTTAGCTCCAGTCCTAAACCTTGATCCCGGTTAGCCTTCCCGTCAGCCTCAAAGTTCTTTATCTGCCATAATTTTGTTTCAAAACTTTACTGTGCGTTCCAGTTTGAACTAATAAGTAGCTAAAATCTTCTATAGTAGCCCTTTTCTAGATATAAAGCTCCAGTCCTGAAATTAGTCCTAGAATGAAGAATCAAAAAGGACCATGGTCGGCAAATAAACCGTGGTCGGCAAATAAACCGTGATCGGTGGATGGCTTGTGGATTGGATTCCAATTGATTGAATGGTCGTGGGGACGAGGAGAGGCGGCTGGAGAGTTGAGCAGAGATTCGGCGACGATGAAGCGGTGAACATTTCGAGGAGCGGATTGGTTGCTGGCTGGAAAAGGCTTTTTAGAAAGCAGCAATCGGATCACTGTGGATTATTTGGTCTTTCTGGAAGTCACACAACCATCCGACTCTTTCAATTCCTCAAAATTCCCACCTCGCTCTGACTCCAAGCGACGCGGCTCGTTTCCGGGGACTTTCCATCTAAATTTAGACATAAATGATGAGGTTTTTTGGAAGTTTTGGCTGTTCTGGAAGTCACACTAGCTAGCCAAGCACTTTTGGTTCAGCCAAACGCAATTCTAAATTTTTGAATTTGGTCGGTTCAATTACGCAGTGCCTAAAAATTGAAGCTCTAAAAATTGAAGCTCTGAAGTTAGCTAAGTTTTAATTGTTGACTGTGCGTTCCAGAACTCAGGAAAAGGTTGCTTTAAATAGCTAGAAATGGGTTTAAATCGGTTTTAAGACTCTCCAAAAGTTTCCGGTAACTTTTCTGTACTAAAATAGAAATCGTGAAGTTCCACAAGTTCGAAATGGGCAAATTCTTACAGAAAGGGAAACGGGGAAAGCGGGGAAAGACAGGCCGATGCCTAATTATCGGCTTAGCTTTCTCTGGAACTTTCTCTCTGGGACAGGACATAGTCAAGTACGTGCACTTTGCGAGAAAATGGCGAGGAAAAATTTTTAGAGAGTTTAGAGACGATTTCTGGTGGATCTGGAAAGCACAAGAGTGAATGGGTTTGAAAATTTCAGTGGTAATCAACAAAAGAAACTTGGTGAGAGGCTCGGCGCTGACCTCGAGGTTTTCTAGGCTTTAAAAGGCTTCAATCAGAAAATAAACGCTTTTTTTGGCCATCCTGGAAGTCACATAAACTATTTATGCAAATTTCCAAGTGATAAATGCAAATTTAAATTTTCAACGAAAATTCCAGCACCAGATGACGTCATCAATTTTTTATTTGCCCAATTTAGCTAAAATAACTTTCGAAACCCCTTTCCTGCATTCCAGCTTAGCGAAAAATAGCAAAAAAATAGCGAAAAGGTACTAAATAAACCGCAAAATTGCCCAGTCCTCGAAAGTTCCAAGGCTAACCTTGGGTTATAGTGTTTAGCGGGATCGGGATCTAGAGATTAGATGACAAAACGCCTAGAAGCTAAAAAGGGACGCAAAATTTGCATAAACAGAATTTGGCAACAATTGAGGACTCGGTGGGTCTCGAACCAGCGGCCTTTCGACTGTGAGACAAGCGCGCTATCCACTAGACCATTGGAAAATTTCGAGATATTGACCTGCTAATATTTGGGAAAAATTCTGTGCGTTCCAGCATCAATGAAAAACCGATTATCTAGCCTTAGATTGCATTTAGGTGCAAGATTTTTCGCCAGTCCTAAATCCGGATTTTAAGGAAGCACAAAAATCAAAATAACGCCATTTTTTCAAATGCAACTCCTGTCCTGCATTCCAGCTTGGGCTAAAATGCTTTTCGTTTTTGCACATTTGCATTTGGGTCCAAGATTTTTCGCCAGTCCTGAATCTGGATTTTAAGAAAGCTCAAAAATCAAAATAGCGCCATTTTTTCAAATGCAACTCCTTTCCTGCGTTCCAGCTTGGCCTAAAATGCTTTTCGTTTTTGCAAATTTGCATTTGGGTTCAAGATTTTTCACCAGTCCTGAATCAGAATTTTAAGGAAGCTCAAAATTGAAAATAGAGCGATTTTTTCAAATGCAACTCGTGTCCTGCGTTCCAGCTTGGCCTAAAATGCTTTCAGTTTTTGCAAATTTGCATTTGGGTTCAAGATTTTTCACCAGTCCTGAATCAGAATTTTAAGGAAGCTCAAAATTGAAAATAGAGCGATTTTTTCAAATCCAGCTCCTGTCCTGCGTTCCAGCTTGGCCTAAAATGCTTTTCGTTTTTTGAAAATCCCTATTTGCTAGTTCGAAAATCCCATTCGCAATTTCGTGCACTTTCGGAGAATTTTCAACGCAAAATTAGCCGGCGCTAATTGTAATTGGAGCTAGCCAGTTCTCACAGACAGCGATCTGTCGTAATTTCCCATCAGAAAAGCTCTTTCTCGGCTTTCTAGGCTGGGAGTAAAGGTGTGAGTCATGGCTTTGATACAAGTACTGTACTATTCGGAATTGGCTACATTTTGGGTGAAAATGGAATCAAAAATGGAAAAATGGAGTTAGTACAAGGGCACAACTTGAATGGGGCTGCAAAAAGAAGTCAAATTAGACTTTTAGCAAAAATTTTGACGCCTTCGGGATTCGAACCAGGACCCTCAGATTGGTAGAAAAATTCGCTAACCACTAGGCCATCTGGTACTATGAATATTTTGACTCCCTAGATATTTCAAAATGTTCTATGACTTCCAGGATTTACGAATCACTTGTTATCTAGGGCTTTTCTTTCTGAACAACGGTAATTTTGACGGTGAACAGAGTTTGAGGCCGTTTCTTGGAGTACACTGGTTTTCCAAATGATTTATAATTTTATTTGGGCATCCTGGAACGCACATAACACTTACAAAGATCATTTTCGAAAAAAGAAAAATTTTTCGACCGCTCGGGGAATCGAACCAGGACCCTCAGATTGGTAGAAAAATCCGCTAACCACTAGGCCATCCGGTACTATGGCTTTTTTACTCCCTAGATGTTCTGTGACTTCCAGGATTTACGAATCACTGTTATCAAGGGCTTTTTTTTCTGAACAACGGTAGCTTTGACGGTGAACAGAGTTTGAGGCTGTTTCTTGGAGTACAATCATTTTCACAATGGTTTTTAATGTTATTTGCGCATCCTGGAACGCACATAACACTGGTAACCCATTTTTAATGAACTAGAGCTTGTTTTTAGGAAATGATCCATTTCAATTATCCGCGTCAGTCTTTCTTCGAAAAGTTTCAAAATACATAATTCAAAACAAAAAAAGTTTACAGTACATTTTCTCGCCGTTTTCTGCTCCCCAAAGATCATTTAATTGACGGAATTGACGTTCAGTCTTTTGCTTTCAACAACCCTAATTAGCGGTGCAATTTTCGACAAAATAGAGTGTGTTTTGAGCGAAAGGAAAACATATTTTAGACATCGGGCAACACACGTGAACGAACCTCTCGTTTAAAAAAATCATTTTCGAAAAACGAAAAAAATTTTCGACCGCTCGGGGAATCGAACCAGGACCCTCGGATTGGTAGAAAAACTCGCTAACCACTAGGCCATCCGGTACTATGAGTATTTTGATTCCCTATATATTTCAAAATGTTCTGTGACTTCCAGGATTTACGAATCACTGTTATTTAGGGTTATTCCTTCTGGAAAACGGTAGTTTTGATGGTGAACAGAGTTCGAGGCTGTTTCTTGGAGTACAATGGTTTTCACAATGATTTGTAACGTTATTTGGGCATCCTGGAACGCACATAACACTTACAAAGATAATTTTCAAAAAAAGAAAAAAATTTCGACCGCTCGGGGAATCGAACCAGGACCCTCAGATTGGTAGAAAAATTCGCTAACCACTAGGCTGGATTTTTTTACTCCCTATATATTTCAAAATGTTCTGTGCGTTCCAGAACTTCCAAATAACAGCTAGGACAAGTTCATTTCTGTACAGGAGTCGAGGAAATCGCTTTAACTCGAATCGAATTAAAGATTGGCTAAAAATAAGTAAAAATACAAAGAAAATCGAACAAAATGAGATTTTCTTCTAGCAAGCTGGAGGTCACAGGAAACTTTGAGACATTTAAATCGGGTTTTAAATGTAAATTTGTAAATGGCCATTTTTGCTTTTTTAGATTGGGAGGAAGCGAAAAAAAAATCGACTTAGTCATGTTTTTCGTGTGCAAATCAATGCTGTGACTTCCAGAATACAGTATGGCGGTGTGAAATTGGGGTAATTGTGTTAAAAGAGGGCACAATTTTGCGCAGTCCTAATTCTTTGACTCAGCCAGTGTTTTGATGATGGAAAATTGTGAAAGTTTGATCAAAAATCAAAGAACGGCGATTATTTTCGATGATTTTTGGAACTTATTTGTGTTCGGGAGTCAAAAGTCTGAGAAAAACATTGTTTTTCCCGGTCTAAGTACTCGTGATGATGCCAGAATTTAGTTTGGGCTCGAGAAATGGGAATATTTGAGTAATTGGCTGATTTTTAAAGTTTGATCAATTGAACTGGATGTCACAAAAGGATTCTAGAAGCTTAAAATGCAAAAATAGAAAAAGACTGGCAGTGACCGGGATCGAACCAGGGCCCTCAGATTTGTAAACTGAGCTAACCACTACGCCATCTGGTACTATGAATTTTTTTACTCTCTAGATATTTCAAAATGTTCTGTGCGTTCCAGGATTTACGAATCACTGTTATCAAGGGTTATTCCTTCTGGAAAACGGTAGTTTGGACGGTGAACAGAGTTCGAGGCTGTTTCTTGGAGTACATTGGTTTTCACAATGATTTGTAACGTTATTTGGGCATCCTGGAACGCACATAACACTTACAAAGATAATTTTCGGAAAAAGAAAAATTTTCGGTCGCTCGGGGAATCGAACCAGGATCCTCAGTTTGATAGAAAAACTCGCTAACCACTACGCCATCTGGTACTTTAGATATTTTTACTTCGTAGCTATTTTAAAATGTTCTGTGCGTTCCAGGATTTACGAATAACAGCTAGAATAAGTTCATTTCTGTACAGGAGTCAAGGAAATTGCCTGATTCGATTGCCTAATTCGAGAATGGCTAAAAATAAGCAAAAATACAAAGAAAATCGAACAAAATGAGATTTTCTTCTAGCAAGCTGGAGGTCACAGGAAACTTTGAGACATTTAAATCGGGTTTTAAATGTAAATTTGTAAATGGCCATTTTTGCTTGTTTGAGAATGGCAGAAAATCAAGCGAAATCTCAAGAGGTATAAATTCAGAAAACGAATTTTCGAGTAAGCTGGATGGCACGCTAGTTGCTGATGTGCAAAAATTTCGTTTCTAACCCGATGTTGACGGTTCACTGGCTTGGCACTCTTTCATGCAGATTTCGACTT